CTTTTAAAATGCTTTTGGGGGGGGGGGAGGACCTGTGGAAAAAAAACATCTGTAATTCTGGAGAGAGAGATTTTGATTTACAGCATATTTTATTTGAATATTCAACATTTTCCATCTCCTGAATCTCTTATATGAAAAAGCATATACAAATCACAGGATCTTAAAAGCTAGGTGTATATGTATTTCTGCTGTCCACTGGTCCAAATAAAGAAGCATTTAGCTCCTGTAAATTCATAGATTTGGAGTGTTTTTTCCTGCTCTGGTTTCACACTATTTTAAGCCTTTGTGATGTGGCATCCAATTACAGTTTGAGAGATTCTGACATGATATCTGACTAAATACCAGTAGGAATAGTTTATTCTCAGGACAGTTCAGGAATCACGTGTATGGCTGAATCTGATACACTGCTTTCAGACAAGTGTTTGTGTTGGAATTTGTTCCCTGTCCTGCTGTTTCTATTTACTGCATTAGTGACATTAATGACAATAACATTAGCTGCAAATAATAATAGTGCTGAGGTCATTAGGGTGCTAAAATGTTCTTAGCACCAGCCAGTCATTCGGCTCTGTCAGTCATAGTCAGAGGTCTGCTGGGAAAACAACCACATTACTAGATTTTTATTCCCTAAACAGCTACTGAGATATTCAATTAATATTTAAACACAATATACTTAATGAGATTTTTATGAGCAACAACATGTTTGTAGATCAATATAGGCTAATTTTGTTTAGGAAGACCAGTATTAGTAACAAGCATCATTACAGATTATTTTTAGATTGTATTGACCCAAAACTACTAAGCAGGGAAACTACTGACATGTGAGGAAAAAAACAAGATACCATGGGCACGAATTAAGATTAATATTAAACATTTATTTATTAATAGAATAATGTGTATGCAAAGTTGTTTTGCTTTAGCTTCACAAGTCTTTAGTACACAGGTGCAAATTTATTTTTGGTATGTTAAGTTTAAAATGTTAGTTGTTTGGGTATACGAGTATTTCTGTTCACAATGGGTGTTTTAAACAGTCTATGACAACCAGAGCAGGAAAAAGTCACACTGTAGTGTTTCCCTAAAGTGTGTGATAATCATTTTGAAAGCCCAGAGTTTTTCCTATATTTATAGTACTACTATGAGGAGGGTCCAACAGTCACCACCACGACCACCTCAATGTCTCATGGTGTTGAGGTAAATGATCTACCCTGGTAAAAAGATCTGCGTCCCTTCCACATGCCATGGGGGCTATTCCATATTCCTTTCACATACTAGCTTAGCTTTTAATAGTAAGATCTGTTTAAATGGTACCGACTTAAAGAGTGGATTATTAAACAAACTCCCTTGTTTAACAATTCATGAGTCAGTGAAAATAGAATAATATATCCAGAGTAAGTTCTTTAAGTTGTGAGAGCAGCACATTTCCAAAAAATAGCCCCCATGATTCAGAGCCATGCAAAAGCCACAGCACTAGTGATGACAGTGAGGGTGTGTTAATAGAGCTTTCTGTGTATGTGTGTTAATGTGATGTTTACTTTAGTTTATGTCTGTCTACTTTATGCTGTAGTATTTTGTGGGGAAAATAATGCTTAATGCGTTTGGTTTGACTGTCCCAAAAGTGCATTTTCTGTAGTTTTTCAGCATGTTTTTTTTAAATAAATGTTAATAGACTGTCTACCCAATACAAATTTACTAACCTGTCAGTGAAATATCAAGTTTTCAGAATCCTGTATAACCTTTTCACTCATTTGACAAATAAAAAGTAAAATACTAATTTGCATGGTAAACAAATGAATTAGAGTTTGCAGAGTACATTGAAGGTAAGTGTTGGATAATTGGATACTGAAAATGGAATCTTTATCTCATCCATTTTCTGTTTTGGTGTAAATCAGTATAGGCTAAATTAAATTCTCATGCTGCTTGATTGCTTATAATATTCGAAAATTAGGTGTTTTGGTCCTCCATAACTGTTCCCCATAAAGTGATGTAACGTTCCTTAAAGCGGTTTGGCTTTCATTGATGAAATTCTGTACATCTGAAAGATGTTAGAGATGTTTCCTGAACCATGTGCATCTGTCTTAAATGTTGATTGCTGTTTTTTAAGCTTGGACCTGGTGGCCTTCCCAAACGCACGGTTAGGAAGAAGGTGAAGGTGGACACCTCCAAGTTCATGACTCCTTACCTGGCTCACAGCCAGAAGATGCTTGATCAGTACAGCCATGTAAGCAAATAACAGAGAAAATATTTTGTGCTATTAATCCGTAAGACTGCTGTTTTCTTCTAATTTCATTGAAATTAATTAGACCACCACTGTTAATGATCCCAAATGATGCTCATAACTGTGAATTGAATTATTAAAGTGAGACCAGAAACAATTTCTCATAAAAATGCATGTTACCACACCATGTCTACAGGCCACAGTTTGAGAACCATTGGAATAAAAACAGATATTAGGTAGAATTAGAGTCTGTTGGGATTTGCTAGATTCACACAATCATTCAGAAGTTTGGATCCAGTAAGTTTTTAAAGAAATGTATATTCTTATTCAGCTAGAATGCATTAAATGTATCTAAAGTGACAGAACTTAACTATCTTACCTGTCTTATCTTGCCTACTCTATAATGCAAACTGAATTTGTATGTTGTTTGCAGAATAAATACAGGGAGGAATATGAAAAATCAAAGGGGCAGCCCTATGCCATTTCGGCTGACACACCTGAGATGATTCGCATCAAGAAGGCCCAGGAGCAGCTCAGTGAGGTATGTACCCTTGATGAATCATTTTCAATCGGTTAGAATATAGTTTGCACAGGGACGTGCACAGACATTTTGAGGGGCAGGGGCTCAAGTGGAAAAAAGGGCACTTCTCATATTTATTAAAAAAATTTTTTTGTCAAACCGTTAAATATATTAGGGGTGTGAGAGCAAAAACAGTCAATATTGTGTCTAAAACATAAGTATCTTAATATTAAATACTTGTTTATTGAACTGCTGTAAAATCAACATCACATTTGTAATCGTGCTGCTTTTTGGTGGAAAAAACGTCAGTCTTCGCGCGATACTGATTAACTATATGAAATGATATAAATTATGCATTTATGCCCCCATATCTTGAATTTTGTGATCATTCTAAATGCATTTTAATAAACTGAATCATGCAGTGAACTGAATCATGTAGCTCTCATGAGTCATGGATGTTAGCAAGACAAATTAACTATAATTGCCTTTTGTCTTTTGGGTAATAAACATAAAACGTTGAATACTGATATTGAAATTATAAAAAAAAAAAAAAAAAATGAAAAGATATTTTAAATGTGAACCGCCAGTAGGCGGCAGCAAGTCACTGTTAATAAGTGAGCCATTGTGACTGAACCAAATCATTTAAACGGTTGATTAATTCAGGAACGAAACACCTTCATGTTGCTCAGAGATGCAAACTGGAATTATATTTGTTGGCGAAATAGAGCAAAAACAGTCAATATTGTGTCTAAAACATAAGTATCTTAATATTAAATCCCGACCCGACCCAACCTGATATTTTGATTTTTTATTAGTTTGACAGGGAAAGCTGTGCGTAAACAGAAACACACACACACACACACGTGCTCATATAGCTATACATAGCTATACCATTTTTTTTTAAATTTAGTTTCCGCCAAAATCAGTATTGTATCTGGTCGGTATTGAAAAGTCCA